ATGTTAAATATAATGCATATATACATTTTCTAATGTCGTCAGCTTGGTGTGTACTGGTCTTGAAATAATTGTCAACAATTTATTTACACTTAATTTAAAGTTGAAAGTAATTTTAATTTATTTACATAATTCAATTTATTTACACTTATTTTAATATAAAGTTGAAAGTAATTTTAATTTAAAATAAACACCTTAGTGATCTGCTACATGATTTAAATAAAATACTTTATAGTTTAATAGGATATGAAGCATTTTTAAATTTTGTCCAACTTCCGCTACTATGCATCTCTACTCCTAAAGCAAATAGCCTCCGCCAGCAGGTCAGGTTATTTACATGAAGTGTAAGTAAAACCTTCTGATATTTAATATGCATGGATGAACTTGAACACTGTCTGCACCACACAGTGGATCTTCACTCACCTCCTTCTCTGATGTCTCCCCATCCAGTGATCATACATCTCATGTCGCTAGTGAACTCCACATTGGCATATGGCAGGCAGACAGGCTGAATGCGCTCAGTGTACACAAAAGGAGTGGCCAGCTCCACCAGAGCAATGTCCTGACCCAGCTGAGGGTCTGTGTAACCCAGAGGAACCACCACTCGACTGATACGATGGCTGGTCTCATCCGGGTTCCAGCCATTCAGCTGCTGCCGGCCCGCGTAGATGAGGTAGCCTGAGATATCATTCGGGCTGGGCAGAGAGGGGAAATTTTAACTAGGGCTGCAGGATATTGGTAAAAATCAAACATTGGGATTTTTTTGTTCATCTGCGATATACAGTTGAAGTTATAATTATGCACTCTCCTGTGATCCTCTTTTTTCAATATTTTCCAAATGGTGTTTAACAGAGAAAGGCATTTTTCACAGTATTTCCTATAATATTTTTTCTTCTGGAGAAAGTCGTTTGTTTTATTTCGGCTAGAATAAAAGCAGTTTAAAAAATTTTTTTACAAAAATGTAATATTATTAGCCCTTTAAGCTATATATTTTTTTGATTGTCTACAGAACAAAACCACTGTTATACAATGACTTGCCTAGTTAAAATAGCGCAATTTAACCTAGTTAAGCCTTTAAATGTCACTTTAAGCTGAATACTAGCATCTTGCAATATATTTAGTTAAATATTATGTAGTGTCATCATGAAAAAGATAAAATTATATAAAATAAATTATTAAAACTATGTTTAGAAAATGTGTTGGAGGGAAAAAAAAAATCTTTCCGTAAAACAGAAATTGGTGAAGAAAAAATAAAAATAAATAAATAAATAAATAAATATAAATAAATTATATATATATATATATATATATATATATATATATATATATATATATACATATACATAAAAATTCTTTCTTTAGGTCCAAGTATTGAGCAGACATACAGTCATCTTACAGATAATGGATGAAGAACAATGGATTAAGATACACATTCTTTTTTAGAGAACACGAAAGAAGATATTTAGAAGAATGTTGGAATTTGCTAGCCCCTGACATCAATAGTATGGAATACAAATACTGTGGAAGTATTACCGGTTTTAAATATTTTGTGAAATTCAAACAGGTCTGTGACAATTGGAAACTAAATAATGACAGAATTTTTATTTTTATCTCTTTAACCCTGCACCAAACCCACAATTACACATACGCCG